CCACCTCGTTGGGGGTCTTCCTATTTTTCTCTCTGACCCTTCATTTTGCCAAACATGGTATCTGTCACTAGGGACTAGCCCTTCCTGAAAATATGTCTGAAATATGAGAGATGAAGTCTGGCCATGCTGGTTTCCAAAGGAGCATTCTGGCTATACTTCTTGGAAAACAGATTCATTTGTTCTTTTGGCAGTCCATGGTACTTTTAATATTCTCCTCTAGCACCATAACTCAAATGCATCAATTCTTCTACAGTCTTCCTTATTCACTGTCCAATTTCCACATGCATATGAGGTTACTGAAAATATCATGGCTTGGGTCAGGCACACCTTAGTCCTCAAACTGCACCATATCTATAGGCAAACCAAAGGTACTATCTAGAAACTCCTTTGCTTATGCCTTGTGAAGAAGGGTTAATGAAAGAGAATTCTTGGTGTCCTGACAGAAAGTCTCTATGGGATAACGCACTAGACTGCAAGGTTGGTTTGAACCACAATGTCAGGACTCAAACTCACCAGTCACTCCTTGGAAACCCTAGACAGGGTCACTATGGGTCAGAATTGACTTGACAGCACTTATCAGCAACTACATCACAGATAAGTAGGTATCTTGTACATCTCAAACTCCTGCTCTCAATCCTCTTCCAATTTTTGCTTTTGCAAGATTAGAAGCACGGCAGGTCTCCCTGGCAATGAATCCCTATGATTCTTTTTTTAAGTTGTTATTGTGAATTGAGTGAGTTTACAGAGCAGATCATCAATTTTACATCCAATAAATCATATACTTTGTTTTATTACACTGATTATAATCCCCTCCATCAGTTAACAGTACTTCTCTCTATTCATTTTAGCTTTAAAAAAAAAAAAAAAAACTCAGTTATATATAATAATTTAAACCACCAAAGGTCACATTCTGTAAGCCTGCCTCCTGGCCTCCAGCTCTCAGTCTGCTGGGCACAGCATATGTAGAGACTGGGTTGATCAGTGGCCCTGTGACATGGACAAAAATCCAACCCCGTGGCTCTCCTCAGGACTGCGAGCCATGGACCCTGAGGGCCAAGGAAGTGACCTCCTGGTGTCCCGGGTTCATTGGTTTTTGCGAACTCACTAGTTGGCTACCTCTGTATAATTTTCTTTGGTCCTAATATTGTTCATTCTATGCTTCTAACTCCAGTAATTGTAGCTTCTGAGAAAATGGTATCTTTTACAATGCCTCTCTTAATGCCTCCACTGTGTTGGCAGTGTGTGGAGTCCTGGGAACAAATCTTTCTGAGGAACAAGTGACAGCCACCTGGGATGGAAGTCAGAACTGCTCCTTATTTGATTATTCAGTTATGTTTGATATCCATGAACAATAATGGGTTTGAAACCCCTTTTTAGAGCTGAGGCAGCAAAAGTTTCCTTAGATAACTTAGAAAGGCCAGGAACAGGTATATTGGGAATATGATAAAAGGTTTTTAGAGAAAAACTACCCAAGGTTTGTAAATAAAGTAGAATGGTAAATTCTGCGAATGTTGGATTAGAGGATAATAGTGGTGGCCCCATTAAACTGCCTCTGAATATAATCAGTTTAACCCAGATGCTCTCCTTCCTCCTGAAAGTATATAGAAATGTGATAATTGAGAACAATGTAGCATTTTAGATATAGATAAATGAAGCCCAGTGCCTGAGATGTTGCTCACAAACAAAAGTTTGCAAAGTGTACAGAGACAGCTTGGCTCCTTTCAGGAACCTTGCTTTATGTTAAGTATCCTTAAGAAACCGCACGACGCTGCTCTAGATCATTTAAGCCTACAAGTTAATATATTACAGCTTGATTGAACCTTTTTTCTGTAAAAATTAAAATGTTAGATTGTTAAGAAAACCATGAGAATATCTTGAAAGTTGTTCCTGTGAATCATTATGTCCGGTTTTGAATGAGTAATCACATTTCAGTTCTGTATCCTGTTTTATCTAAAGAATCACATCCTCCTTTTGTGAATTACATCCTTCCTTTGTAACAAATCCCTCCCTAAAAAATAGAATAAAAGACTGAGGTAGAGTGAGTTCTGCGTGCAATGCTAGGCAATATGTTTGCAGATCTGTCTACCTGCCAGCTTGCATCATATCTATGTGTCTGTCTTTTTTGTATATACTTCGTCTCTCTCTTTCTCTATCCCTTTCGCCACCAGATCTCCCTTCTTCGTGACACCCACACTTCCTTGTCAAGGTTGGAACCCGACATAGGACCTTGACATCAGTCCCTGTCTTTCCATGAATCTAGAGAATCCTCAGCTGCTCCCTCTCCCCATGTGCTCATCTCTGTCTCCATCTCTGGTGTCACTGCTTCTCTGGATAGGGTCCCACACTCTACTTGTGCTCTTCTCCCTTGATGGTCCTAGGGTCCTCTGTTTCTGTAGTGTAAGATTAAACTACTCCTCCATTTTTATTACAAAACTTCTACCTTTACAGTTGTGACAGCTGCAATTATTCCTTATAACAATTACTCATTATTGAATATATGAATCTTAGCCCCATCTCTTTTTACCAGACTCATCTAGACAAGATGAAAACTATTCAGTGGGGACTCTACCTTCCCCCCCACACTCTTACACTAAACTCCCTCTTGAAACCTTGTAAGACAGTCACTTCATGCCTTTATCTCCCCCTCATTTTAAGTAGTATATCCCTATGATGCTTGTGACTGGCTCTTGAAAATACTACCAAAGTTTCCCATGAAAGTTGGGGCCAAACTAAAGGCAGTATTTATAGGTAATTGTTTGGAGAAGCCAAGGAAAAGTGAAATCATTCCTTGAATTCATCCTTCAAATCAGCCACCAAGAGAAAATGAATGCTTGCTGAGTGCCTGCCTTTTTTAAAATTTTTATATAGAAAAAGGAGAACAAAATAATAAGATAACCCTAAATCAGAATAAATGATTTATTAAAGATCATTAAAGGCACAGTTTCCGGAGGAGGGGCTCACATAATCCTAGATTTCGTGGGGTTTCTAAAAGGAGCCCACTGGAGTTAAGGCTGTTCCATGCACATGCTTTCAGAAGCCTCTCACCTACCTAATGATTCTGGAGACATTCCTTTCCAGGTATTTCCAGGACTGACACACCCATAGAGAAAAAGAGATGTTATTTTACGATACATTATATGATACCCACAATTCTGTGACTTAGCTGGTCTCTCTGACTTTACTAGTGGAGCAAATTGACTACTGAAAATAGCAAGTCTTCCCAAAGCAAGATAGGCCTGTTGCAAAAAATTGAAAAGTATTTATGACATTTTTAAAGAACCACACCTTGGAGCAATGATTTATAGAAGCTCCTAAAATGTCAAGAGGGTAGGTTTGCGCCCTCCTCACAATCATTGCTAGGCCTAAGCCCATTGGTGCAGCCACTGTGTCAGTCCATCTTGTGGACGCTCGTCCTCTTTCGTTGACCCTTTTCCAAGCATGATGTCCTTCTCCAGGGACTGGTCCCTCATGATAACATGTCCAAATTACAGGAGATGAAGGTTCTCTAGCCTTTAGAAACCATATGTCATGTTATGGAATCCTGGCTTGGCACTCTTGGATATGTACTGCTAACTACAAGTTTGGCGGTTCAGTCCACCAACTGTTCCTTGGAAACACTATACAGAGTTGCAATGAGTAGGAGCCAACTCGACAACACTTAACAACAATAACAAATGTTATATTATAAACTATTTCATAGATAAATAGCCATATTCTGTTACAGGATCGCAGGAAAAGAACATATTACCATATAACAGCATACAAAACCCTGAGCATTCAGCCACACTGACCTGGAATAGGTAAGGAACACAGGAGTGGTACTTCTTAAATACTGTCTTTTTTGGTCTGGAAACCACTTATTAATCCACAAAAATATCTTCATGTAAAATTTTCACATTAAGAGAACAATCCAGATTAGTTCTGCAGAATCTTCTGAGGAAGTAACTCTATTATACCAATTACAGTTGTATGTAACCCATAAATAAAATGTAATTTTCAAATCAATGGTTATATCATGCTTCTTTTAGGAATTAAAATAAATCAGAGTAAAAAACAAAACAAAACTGTAAACCATGCTTCTTCAAAGTAGATTGAGTTCATCTCTGTTCTGGTTTAAAAAAAAAAAAAAGTTTTTGGCACAAAACAACGGTATGTGTAAGGAACCCTAGTGGCGCTATGGGATAAGCAAAGGACTACTGACCACAAGGTTGGCAGCTCAAACTCGCCAGCTGCTCTGCAGGAGAAAGATGAGACTGTCTGATCCCAAAAGATTTACAGCCTCGGAAAACCTATACAGGGCCCTTATGAGCGGGAATTTACGTGATGGCAGTTAAGGTTTTTTTTATTGTTGTTGTTGTGAAGTGCTGTCGAGTCGGTGCCGACCCATAGCGACCCTGCATAGGGTTTCCGAGGAGCAGCTGGTGAGCTTGAACTGCCGACCTTGCAATACAAACGGCTTTATAGTCTGGTGCATTAACCCACAGGGCCACGCCAGGATAGAGAAAGGTAATTATCAAAAACAAAAATGAAACAAAAAACCCTCTGACCACAGCCAGATGACAGCTACGATGTATTGTGCTTTTGCTCTTTTAGAGTATCCCAGAAAAACCAAGAATTGCTCTAACAACATGAACAGTAGAATAATTTAGGCCAAGGCACCAGTTACCCAGTGTTAGCATCAAAGGCAGTGAAAAGTTGCTACTTCTCTCTGCCTGTTCCTGCTTTCTTTGAGACACCTTTGTTAGGCAATTGAGGAGGCAGTTTCAGAGTGTGCAAAAAACAAAAAACAAAAACATTTAAAAAGTATTCATCTCTAGAAGCAACTACCATTTCACCATCTCCACACTCCACTGTACCATTCACAGCTTTCTGGCTACAGGCCTAGGGATTTTTGGCTCATGGTTTCTTAGCCAGTCTCTGAACAACATAAGCAAATTGACAGTATTAGAATTACCCCGATTGACAATATTAGAAATAAAATATTTTAGGCAGGAACTAACCTGGAGGTAACTGGCACTGGAGCTGAACTGTGGTCTTCCCTGGCCCCAAGTTTTTTTCCAAAGGTTCCTCAGGCACCAACCGGGCTTGGCCTGCTCTGAGGGAGTCTGAGTTGGCTCCTTTGGTCTCCGTGACCTTTGTAGACAATGGTAGCTCCAAGGTGTCAGCAGAGGGGAACCCCAAAACAGCACCACTCTTTCTAGCAGGTGAGTCATTAAGAGCAGCTACCCCCTCACCAGGCAATGACAGGGGCCAGAGGACCCTGTGATGCTGTTCAGGGCTGGGCAGCTTTGGAGACAGAGAAGAGGAAACAGGTGGCATCCGTTTGTGTGTGCCGGTCTGGGACTGAGGAGATGAATTATTAAACACCATGCTGAGCTCTTCCAGTGCTGGTTGGGGCGGTCTCTTATCCCTTCTGGGCTTTGAGGAGTCTGGGCCTAGACTGTGGGGCAGATCCAGAATCAAGGTTTTGTGTCCACTCAGAGGTACCTCAGTTTTCCTCTTGCTTCTGGTTTCTGGGAGGGTGTGGGTGGCTTTTGTACCAAGAGGGAAGCCCAGTCTTTTGCCTTCAGTGGCCTCATCTAACTTCTCGCTCTCTATCACCTTCAGGAGGGCTTTGTTTACAGCCCCCTCAGCACTGGGAGCACAGGCTCTTAATCTGGCTGATGACTGGTCCCCTTGCTGCTCTTTGACCCACAACCTGGAACACTGAGCTCCAGCCTCCGCTCCGGGGAGGGTGAGCAGGCTGACTCTGGATGTCAACTCGGTGTGGACTTCTGGATGGATAGCAATCCTATCCTCACCCTCAGGATGAGTTTGAACTACTCTTTGCACCTGAGCAGACAGATCCTGGACTTTGGCCACCACCTTGGAAACAGATTTCTTCCTGCAAGTCTGCTTGGTCGGTTTCTCCCTCTGGCCCCTCTCTGGCTCTGGGTGCTTCTCAGGGTCCTTGTGTCTTTCTGACAAACCTGTTTGCTGACGCCCCAGCCTGTGTGGCCTCTTCGGTAGCCCCTGAGCACCATCGTTTCCTGACGCAGAGAGGCGGTGGTTGGACGGCAGCACTCCACTCCCAAGGCCAGTGTTCTCAGAAGCCACTCCAAAGCTTCTCACACCAGGGTCTGCATCCAGTGTCCTGGAAATCACCGGGGGGCAGCTCTCTCTCCTCCGCAGGGATGTGGTGAGTGCTCCATTTAGGATCAAGTTTCCCCTTTCCTCTAGGAGATTAGGCCTTGCTTGAGAAGGAGGGAAGGGAATGCTGGAATAGCTCTGATCCTTCTCTATGTGAGGAGCTGATTCCTGGCCCCCATGCCCTTTTCTTCTTATCCTTTTCTGAGGGACTGTCTGAAAGCCTTCTCTCCTCCCACCGAACCTCCGGGGCTTTTTGTTCCCATGGGTGCTCCTCTTGTTGAGAGAGCCCAACGGGGGCTCTCCTCGCCAGTTGCCAGCACTCTGGAAACAGTCATCATCGGGTGCCAGACTCACAGACAGCTCGGGCAGCTTCCCCTCCTGGTTGCCCATCGTAATCCCCAGGATGTGGTCTGAGTTCAGCAGGTTGGCCAGCAGTCTCTGCCTCTCTGTTGTGAGTTTGTACAGCTCAGTTAGAAGGTCTTTCGTGGGCGTTTGCTTGAAAAATATGTCGCCTGGATGTTGGTTCGGCTGCTGATTGAGGCTGATGATGTCTGACCCCTCCCTGACTTGGTAGCAGTTATGAAAGGCTTTATTGGATTTGTCTAGAGTTACAGTGCCCTTGTATGAAAATCCTCTGACTTCCCCTCTTGGAAGATAGAAGCTGATGTAGCAGAGTTCAGTGATGGGCTTACGCAATTGGAGGGTGCAGTGAGTGCCTTCCATTATGCCTACCTAATTATTCATGCCTCGGAGATGTCGGTCTGTGGTCAGGCTTCCCAGGCTCCGGTGTGGGACATGTGATGGTGGGTACACAAGGAAAACAGCTGACAGTCATTTCCAGCAATGCGACTGCCTGTGAGAGGGACAGGGGAAGAAAGCAGCTTGTCTAACAGAGTGTGCACACATCACACAGCAGAATAAATCAAACCAAATCCATGACTTATCCTGCCTTTCTAGCTGACTTCAACCAACTCATGGCATCTGCCAAAAGGTTGATTTCAACCTCTTCCCCACTCCCACCTCACCCTGGACCAGGAGAGCTTTTCTACAGCTGAGATATGGGAGAGTGCTCTAATGTTATCCCCAGTTCAAAAGTCCTCTCTGCTCACATGGGACTTGCTGTATAGTCTAATTCAGATCTAACTCCTCAGGTCTCTGTTCACATTGTTCTATGCAATAGAGTCATATGTCCCATAACTCCCAAGGAAAAGGAACTTTGGAGATCCTTAGAACAATATAGCCCTTTGAATAACTCATGTTGAGAACATTATTTTACAAAGATGAGTCAAGCCTTTTTCTCTCCAAAAGGTACCTCCCGTTAGTATTCCCTAGGTGGTGCAAATATTTAGTGGTTTGGGTCCACCCAGAGGTGCCTCAGAAGAAAAGCCTGGCAATATGCTTCTGAAAACAGCTACTGAAGCACATATGGAGCATGACTCCTCTATGGGACCCTGAGATGGCCATAAACTTCAACTAACTTGATGGCCATTAGTTTGATATTTGACATTAAGTAGCATAGTGGTTACAAGTTGGGTTGCTAACTTCATAGTCAGCAATTTGAAACCACCAGCAGTTCCAAGGGAGAAAGATGAGGCTTTCTGCTCCCATAAAGATTTACAATCTTGGAAACCCTGTACAGGGTTGCTATGAGTCGGAACCGACTCCACGGCACATAACTACCACCACCACTATTTAACTTAAAGGACAATATAAAGGAAATGTCTTGGCCTAAAATTTTGGAATCTCTTTTGAACATGACTCATATATTTTTATAAAAGAGCTATAAAAGTGAAGACTGAAAAGGGCCCTAAATAACTATCTCATTAGGAGCCTTAATCAAGGTTTTTATTTGTTTGTTTTTACATCTTGTCTGTGAGGGTAAATGGAATGGCAAAGGAAAAGCAAGAATCTGGCCTCATGTGGATTTGCAATGACTTTACTATGGAAGTGGCTAAAATGACACGGAAACAGTGAAGGTGGCTGCTCTCTCGTGAGATTTTAAGGCTATTTTAAAATATTTACTTTTTTAAATTAAGGTATTGTGCAATCTTTAAGACTAGCTTACTTTAAAGAAATCTTTTTAGGAAGGGTGGTAGCGTAGTGGTTACGAATCGGGCTGCGAACCGCAAGGTCAACAGTTCAAAACTACCAGCTGTTCCGCGGGAGAAAGATGAGGCTTTCTGCTCCCGTAAAGGTTTACAGCCTCGGAAACCCTGTGCAGGGTCACTATGAGTCGGAACCGACTCCATGGCACATAATAACAACAACATAATAGACATTTATTTAATTATTGATATCTTTCATTAATTGTTTTCCTCAGGACTTTCCTAATTCTAAACAGGAAAACTGTACATAAAAGTATACTTTGAGTTGAGGACTAGAAAATGAAGGGAGAGTTTTAAAGTAGATACTCTCTTTGAAAAAAATCAAATGGAACTAAGAGTGATCAGACGAAGGTATAACATGCAGACATCACCTCAACCCAGAAGTGCCTAGAGGGATCAGGGTATCACAGAAAGACTTACAAATACACAAGATGGGGGGGGGGGGGGGTTTCAGCAGAGGGCTTGTCTCACGGTTTCCTAAATAGTTCTTCTCAGTTACCTAGTCCTATTTCTAAAACCTTTTTGAAATGTTCATTACTACTAGTAGCCTTTCCAAAAGATGAACATGTAAATAGATGTTGTTGTTAGGTGCCATACAGTTGGTATCGACTCACAGCGACCCTATGTACAACAGAACGGAACATTGCCCGGTCCTGGACCAACCTCACAATTGTTGCCACTTGGTAGTTAATTGGTACAAACTCTTTGGATGTATTTAAGAACTCACCTGGTATAGTATTTTTATTTAAAAATTTTAATTGTATATTTTATAACAACTATAAAAGCAATTGCTGCATTGTCAACATCTACTGTCCACAATCCTGAGCACTAAACATCAGGAATTGAACCTGTGAATGCTTGGGAAAGCTGAAGAAGAGCCACAGAAGTACTATTCTGAGGTATATGTACAGGTAGAAAATTACCTTCTCTGTCTTCAAGCATCATTCTCCTCTAGCGCTTCTTGCATCCTCAGTTACTCTGGGTTAGAAGTGTATGATGTGGGAAGGGGGAAGAGTTAAAATTTTCCATAATCTCTGTTCATGGTTTTTGGGTTCAGCACAAACTTCACACTGTGATTTCAAAAGGAATAGGATTGCCTATTCTGCATGTCAAATTCCTTAAAAGAGGAAATTCTTATATAGTCAGCACATATGTGTGTATACATTAATTCCATTATCTCATTTAATCGGCACATAGCTCTTTTACAGATAAGGACATTGAAATTCAGGGAGATCAAGAAACTTACTTAAATCATATGGCTTAGAAGAAACAAGTTTCAAACTTAGTTCTGTCTCACTCCGTTACTTCAAAGAATTACTCTTTATCGACTGCATTTTGTTGATGAAACTGCCTTTTTACTACGTTTTCAAAGGAATTTGAATATAAGAGTTTCCTTTATTTTGATTACTTGTTTTTACTCATATAATTTCTTAATATCTTAATATTCCATGTGAGTAAAATTTTACTAAACATAATACAGAAACGGCTGCAATCATACATTGACAGAGAAACTTCCAGAGGTTCAATCCAGATTCAGAAGAGGCCGTGGAACTAGGGGATATCATTGCTGATATCCTAGATCCAATGGATCTAGGCTGAAAGCAGAGAGTATCAGAAAGATGTTTACCTGTGCTTTATTGACTATGCAAAGGCTTTCGATTGTGTAGATCAGGACAAGCTATGGACAATATTGCAAAATATGAGTATTCCTAAACGCTAAATTCTGCTCATGAGGAATCTGTACGTTATCTCTAATTGTGCTAATTTCACCAGTCATCGGATAGTTTCAGCTTCTTTGATCAGATAAGTGCTGCTCCCTGTTGTTGTTGTTAGGTACCATTGAGTCAGTACCAACTTATAGCGACCTTATGCACAGCAGAACGAAACACTGCCCGATCCTGGGCCAACCTCACTATCGTTGCCATGCTTAAACCCATTGATGCTGCCACTTTGCCAATCCATTTTGCGGGGGGTCTTCTTCTTTACCTCTGATCCTCTATCCTACCAAATGTGATATCCTTCTCTAGTGACTGATCCCTCCTGACAATATGTCTGAAGTATGAGAGACGAAGTTTGGCCATCCTGGCCTCCAAGGAGCACTCTGGCTGCAATTCTTCCAACACAGATCCGTTGGTTCTTTTGGCAGCCCATGGCACTTTCAATATTCTCCTCCAACACCATAACTCAAAACCATCAATTCTTCAGGTTTATTTGTTTTTAATGTTTTATTGTGAATTATGTGATAGTTTACCTGGGAGAACATTAGTTTTACATTCATCCTATAGTATATCGTTTCAATGCCATGGTTACCATCCTCTCCATGCATCATCAACTGACCAAAGTGTATCCCCTGCAAGCCTGCCCTCTGGTTGTCAGCACACAGCCACTTTCCCTCTGTGGGTCTAGAGTTCCCAGCCACTCCATCTCTCCATGTCATCATCTCTGCCTCCATCTCTGATGTCACTGTTTCTCTGGGTAGGGTCCCGCACTCCGCTCTTCTCCCTTGATGGTCCCAGGGATCTTCGCTCCTGGACTGCAAAGTCAACCACTCCCCTCCTTTTGCTACAAAACTTCTACCTTTATATTTCCAACCCTCACAATCAGTCCTGATAGTAATTATTCACTATTGTACCCCAAGAGACCTTTCATCAGCTACGCCCAGACAGATTGGACACTACTCAGTGGAGATTCTACCTTCCTCCATGCCTTTGAATCTAGGCTCCCTCTTGAAAGCATGTAAGCCAATCACTTCTTGCCTTTGTAGCATCCTGCCATTTTGGGTAGCCAATGTCCAAGTTGCCCATTCCTGTCTACTCTGTATATGGAGGGGTGGGAATGATCCTCAAAAAGCATCAATTATTCTATGGTCTTCCTTATTCACTGTCCAGCTTTCGCATGCATATGAGATTATTGAAAATACCATGGCTTGGGTCAGGTGTACCTTAGACTTCAAGCTGACATCTTTGCTCTTCAACACTTTAAAAAGGTCTTGTGCAGCAGATTTGCCCAATGCAATATGTTGTCTGATTTCTTGACTGCTGTTTCCATGAGTGTTGATAGTTGATCCAAGAAGAATGAAGTCCTTGACAACTTCAGTGTTTTCTCCGTTGATAAGAATGTTGTTTATGGGTCCATATATTGAGATGCAATCCACACCAAAGGCTGTGCTCCTTGATCTTCATCAGTAAATGTTTTAAGTCCTCTTCACTTTCAGCAAGCAAGGTTGTATCATCTGCATATTGCAGTTTGTTAATGAGTCTTCCTCCAATCCTGATGCCACATTTTTGTTCATAGAACCCAGCTTCTCAGATGATTTGCTCAGCATACAGGTTGAATAAGTATGGTGAAAGAATACAACCCTGTCACACAGCTTTCTTAATTTGAAACCATTCAGTGTTCCCATGTTCTGTTTGAACAACTGTCTCTTGGTCCATGTACAGATTCCTCATGAGCACAATTAAGTGTTCCGAATGCTCATACTTCACAATGTTGTCCATAGGTTGTCCTGTTCCACACAATCAAAATAAAACACATAAAACACAGGTAAACAAAATAAAACACAGGTAAACAAAACAAAACAATAAAACACAGGTAAACATCTTTCTGATATTCTTTGCT